TACTGGATTTTGCTAACATCAGACACTATTGTGCCTCTTTCTGGAAGCCGTTTACGAGTGTCTAGGGATACTGAGCTTCAGCAAGCACACCAGAGGCTTTTGTGAAATAAACCTAGTCATAAAAAGAAGCAAAAACCTCTCCTTAAAAAAGGAAAGAAAGAAAAGAAGGAAAGAAATGGAAGGGTGGCCTTGCTGAAGTGTGTCAGGATTTAAATCTGCAGGGTTTAAATATCAGTTTTGACTTGAGAAACCTATGAGAGCACAAATTTAATAAAACTTTTTAGCACTAAAGCAACACTTCTCAACATTTTAATGGGCTATTGTTCCTGGCAGTGGCCTGATTGCTTTGCTTTGTAGGCAGATTCTGTGCCGGGGTTGGGGGGGGGGGGGGAGGTCACCTTGCTTTCCATGTGCTGCTTTTGCCTTAGCTTAGGCTTCTGATGTGAGCAGGAAGGTGATTAAGCATGCTGGTTAACAGTGTCCTCATGAGCTCCCTTCCACCTTAAATTCTTTCCTTCTGTGGCTGCCAAAGTCAGTGACTGAACCTCCTTAGCCAGTGCCTGGCTGGCTTGCAAGAGCAAGCCACAGGTGTAAGAGGAACCTTGCCTCCCGGATCCTGGCTCCTAGGAGCTAGTATAGATTTCCAGATGTTTGGGACTTCTGCATCTAGAAGCGCATGCCAGCATGGCCAGTGGTCAGGGGCAGGAATGAGAGGATCTTGCTGGAATCCAGCTCTCATGCACTTGCTGGGGTTCTTTCCTGCACTTGACTCTGGCCAGGAAGTGAGTCAAGGCAGAATCAAATGCACAAACACTTGGGAATGTTAGTGGCTCCCTTCTTTGCACAAAGTGTGCAAAATACACCATTCTTTGTGCAAAGTACACACAGTATGCTCAGCATGCAGCTCATGTGTGCAGAAGCAGAGCTCCAATTTCACAGCAGGCCGAAGAGCGATGGGCTGGGTTTGCTCAAGCCAGCCTAGTGGGCTTGCTTGGATTTGCTTCCTGCTGGACTCCCATGCAATTGCCTGGTGTGATGCCAAACTGGATTCCTCACACAGTCAGGAAGTCCTGAACAGCTGGAGAGCTGCTTCCATCCACCCCAGCACTGGCACATTCAGTTTTCCTGGCAGGAGAGGGAAAACATGTGTCACCCCAGCAACACAATGCCTTTTCCTTGTTGTCCTTCCTGCTTTTTCGCTTTGCTATGGTTATCCTGCTAAGGCCAGTGAAGCATCATTGCATCCTGGAAGCTCATACAAGGCTGGCCCTTGTGCCTGATTATTAGTCCAGATCAGGTTGCAATCATCCTGTCCCCAACATGGAGACGGCCCGTTTTTCAAGATGCTGCATTGGCATTGTGGAACACAGAATCTTTTCCTTGAAGCAGTGAATCTTGATGGGAGACTTGTATCTGTGTAAGTGTTCCTTGTTTCAATGCTGTTGCCATGTGCTCTGAGTTGTGCACAGTAGAGCTGTCGCAAGATGATTTCAAACTGTCTCTCATTGCTTCAGAGCTCTTGGAGAAGAGCTGTAGTCGGTAGTAGGCAACAGGTGTTGAAGGTAAATATCACCGAGTGCAGCCTGCAGCCTCTCCCTGGAGGACTGGGAAGTTTCCTATCTGAATCCCTGGGGAGCTGCTGCTGGTCTAAAACCAGGAGCGGGCAATTTGCAGGCCAAAACATTGGGAAGGCCAGGACTCCCACAATCCCCCTCAGCACTGGCTTTTCTGGTTAGGGCTGCTGGGAAGAGTAGGCCGAAATATCTGGAAGGCCCCAACTGTCATAGCTCTGGTGTAGATAGCATTGAGCTAAATGGATCATTTGTGGGATAGCATGGGATATGATCCTAGCGTCAGATTATACCTCACTCACAAAATAAGGGTGAAAAAATGTAGGTATGAAGTCAGGTGGGCTGGAGACAAGATTCAAGAAAATAACTAAAATCACCTTAGTATCTAATGTATTTGTATCCCTTTGGTTTTTAAAATTCTTCTGCAGTTTTGTTTTTAATGATGCATTGCCAAAATCCTTGGATGCAGGCATGGAAGAAGAAAACAATCCAGGGGCATCCCTTGGGTACAAGCATAACATACATGCATATTTATATACATACCCACACTTTGCAAGGCTTTCAAACAAACATTGGGTTTTGAGGGCCCTAATTATGTATTTTATTATTTTTGGACCATCTTAATCAGTGATTAGAATATAAATGCTTGCCCTGGGACTGCTGGTTACTATCTTTTTGCTGCTTCTCTTCTCGCTTTTATGTCCCCATCTACAGCTAATTAGCTTCTGTCCCTCTGCTAGCTTGTCTAGCGTTCTTTGCACTTTTGTGCTTTTTCTCCCTTCTGATCTTTCCAACTGTCAACATTAACTTCTCTCCTTTCCGAAGATTCCTGTTGCCAGGCAACCATTTCCTGTACGCAGTTTGGAGGACCCTTCCCATTGGAAGCCCACACATTCTTTGTGCAACTTTAAATCATTCAAAAAATTTGTTTCACAGTGCTGATATCAGCCCTCCTCCTTCCTCCTCCAGCTTCTAACCAACATTTTCATTCTGATGGCAGCTGCTCCTAGCAGCAGGGGCCTTTTTGATGCGTAAAATATTATTTATTTTTATTACTGTTCTCTCAGCCAGAGGTTTCTCTCAGCCAGTGCCCCGATAATATCTCCTTCCTTTCCTATTGAGTAGTCCACGGACAATTCTTTCTTAGCAGTTTTCTGTTAGCGTGCAAGTATTGGGGGGTGGGGAGAGTCTTTATTCATATGCTATACAAGAATCCTGGCATCCATTGCAGTAGAAAGAGTCTCTTCATTAGAATAATATTCCATTTGAAAAGCTTTTTTTTGGTGTAACTAGTTGCCAGATGGCCAGAACACAAGATAATTGATGGTTTCTCTTTGCTTTTGGGGGGGGGGGGGGGGGTGAGGTGATAACAAGGCTTTCATGGTTCTCTACTGCTTGAAATAGATTATCATCAAGGAAGTTAAAGAACGAGGAAAAGAATCAAGCAGAGGTCAGATACTTTTTCCTTTTCCTTGATGGGGTTCCTAATTCATGCTAGAATTGAAATGGTAACCTTTCTTTGCAAGATTGATTGCAGTTCTAATTAAAAGCTAAAGAATGCATTCCAGCTACCCAAAAGATCTTTTGTTCAAGCTCAGTGAGTTTCATAACTTGAACCTGTGCAGTCATAAAAAAGCATCACTGAGTGCAATGGTGCTGACTCCTAGCTATCTGTAGCCCTGTTTGGGCATTCAGGATAACATTGAAGGTATGCCCCATAAATGTGATTTTATTAGTGGTCTGTTCGTTTGTTTGTGTCTGTGTTTTAAGATCTGAGTTTTTAAACCAGAGTGTTAACCCCTTGGAGTATAAACAACAGAAAAGCAGAATAGTCCTATCTGTGTCTGTGACCTGGCGCATGATATAACCACCACCACAGCACATGTCCTTTCATGCAAGCCCAAGCCACTTTTTCAGAGTGGCTTCCTTTGTCTTACTTTTGCAACCTGCTCATAGTGCGCTGGCATGTCCTGCTTAGCAAGAAATAATTTTGGGATCAGCAGTCCAGTGAGGAACCTGTTAAGCCACAGCAATAGTGCAATATAAAATACATCCTTGGTATAAAAAGCTCCATTAATTTTGCCGAACCCTACAAGGTAACAAGGCACTTTGTAGCATGAACATTAAAATGTTAACACGCCTGATATGTTAAATGGGCTGCACGTGCGTTTGTTTGCTTTTGGGGATAGATGTGTCTCCTTCCTGCTTCTATCCTGTAAAACTGTTTATTTATTTATTACATACATATTTCTTCCTAATGGAAGGGGCCATGGCTCCATGGCAGCTCACCTGATTTGCATACAGATGGTCCAAGGTTCAGTCACCAGTATCTCCAAGTAGAACTGGAAAAAATTCCTGTCTAAAATCCTGGAGAGCCGCAATTGCTAGGTATCAAAAATACTGAGGTAGATATCCCAGTGGACTGATTCAGTGTAAGGTGACTTCCTGTGTTCCCCTTAGGAGGCCAAGAAGAGCACAGCTGCTCCCTCTTCCATCGGCAGACTGAACGGGGCCAGCTGTGATCAAATCAGCTGACTTGCATGTCAGTCAGACTGATCTGGGCCCCACACTACTGCCATCAGCCAAAAGGGCTGGCTACTGTGGGTGGGAGCAACTGTGACTGGCCCAGCTTCCTCTCAAGTCAGCCAAGCTAGGCAGGGCCCCAGGCAGCAGTGGGATCGTGTGAGGGAAAGTTTCTGACAGCCACTCCCACGTCCTAGTTGTGCACTTTGGGGGCAGCTCTCAGACATGCTTGCCCAGCAACCACCCAGTGGCTGAACCCATAGCAGTTTAGGTTACCCCTGGACATGTCATGTGGTCCAGATTTAGACAACATTGCAAACCCAGAGGTGAGTGCAAAGCCTTGCAATGAGCTATGGCCTGTTGGTGTGGTTTATAAGCCCAGAAGCTGGGTCACAGCTGGGCAGAATTGCTGCCAATGGAGGTGGTTCTTGGAAGGAAAGAGTCAAGTTGCAGTTGGTTCCACCCAGGCCAAGCAGGCAAGAGGTCTGGTGTCTTGCCTTCAGCTCAGAATCAGCCAGACAGGGTGGCAGAGAGCTATCCGGCAATGGTTGGGACCACTGGTGTTTGCAAGGGAAAGATGCCAAAGCATAGGGCAACCCAGATGTTTTGGGCAAGAACTTCCAACCCCTAAACATTAGCCATGAATTGGACCAATAGGAACTGCAGTCTAAATCATCCTTCCACATCCCCCTGGATGATTACGATGATTATTTTTGTTTCTTTATTGCCCAGTAATTGATGCTCTCTGGGCGGTTTGCACCAGTTCACAGTTCACAATGGTCTTTCTTTCTTCCTCCATTTCTCTGTGTTTGCCACTACTATTTTGTGTTAGAGTAGTCTAGTTCTAGAAGGAAAGGCAATACTTTTGAGGAACATTGATGGGTTTATGCTGTTTTTGTATTATAGGTAATAAAAGTCTACAAAGCTGCCATACAGCAAACTTTGGATATCATGTTCCTCCCTGAAGGACAAGAATTCCTTAGCAGCACCGATGCAGTAAGCCAAGATTCAGCTGACCGTACCATCATTGCATGGGACTTCCACACAGCTGCAAAGATCTCCAATCAGATTTTTCATGTGAGATGCTTATTTACTATTTGATTTCTTTTTAAGATGTCTGGATTGACTTTCTGCCAAAAACAACAGCAGCAGCAGCAACAACAACAGTTAACACTCACAGCAATTTTCTCCAGAAATAGCTGAAAGAATTTCATGTTAAACTGGCTACATGGCACAGAACATGGTGCTTTGCATTATTATTCAGTCAAGACTCTGTTGCTTCCCATGCCAGTTTGGTCTCTGTAGAAAGAGCAGTGCAGCATTACATCCTGATCCTCTGCATGTTTACCTGGAAGTAGGTCCTGTTAAATTCAGTGGGATTCAAGTACATATAATACAATTACTTAACTTTAAGGTGTTATTGTGCTTGAATCAATAGCTGTGATATCTTGAGTTCAGGATCACCATGCTGCTAGGAAATGGAAGATTTCTTAAAGCTGTTGATCTTTAATCCCATATCAAACTACCTGCGTATGAATTTTGTCCTCTAAGGTCTTTATCCTTTGGAATCAGATTGGTTGAGGAACTGTGTGCAGTCTCATGTGACAAAACCCCACTTCCTTTTTGGTGGCAAGTTAACTTTTATAATTACTTAAGCAGTTAATGTTGGAGATTCTATTTGCTCTCTATTTCGATTTTCTTTTTATAACTTTTTTGGTTTTGCAACCCATTTTCTTTGAATTTTTACTAAATTGATAAGTAATGCCATACTGAGAGTGCTTTGCTAAAAAGTGACTTGCAGGCTGCCCTGTGCCTCCTTAGCTAGCCTGCTGCATCCAGGCGCTCTGAGGCACTGTTGTCATAACATCAGCATAAAAGACAGAACCTTCTTCCAGTCTAGTTGGCTTCGTTCAAGGAGGTCCAGGCAGCAAAAGGTCTCAGGCCACCCCAGCCAGTTCACATGGTCAAAGAAGCTGTGAAAGCTTATGTAAAGGTTAAATGATGCTCACATAGCTTCAGCCTGTCGTGGGTTATGGAAGGGTTGATTAAGCTTTGCACAGCCTCTGTTGCCTGAGTTTGGATGGCACCACAAGCTGCAGTCTTAAAAGAAAAAACTCCCAGTGCACAACACAACCCACTGAGGCTTAACCAAGCCGTAGTGAGCTGCAGTGATCATGTGAACCATGCCATTGTTTCGAATGCTATTTTAAGAACCATTCATTTTAAAAGGTTAAAGAACAGCTGCTTCTTTTATCTAATTTTATCTCTCTGTATTTTTACTAATTATCTATCATTCTTATTTATTGTTATTGTTTATAGACTGTTTTGATTGGTAATCGCTTTTAATGTTGTAAGCCTTCCTGAGATGTTGTCGTAAAGGACAGCATATAAATGTTTTAAATAAATTAAATAAATAAATTGTCTGAGCTGGTACAAGGCATCAAAAGCTGCCCTCCACATGCCTACTATATTAAGAGTGGCACATAGTTTGCCCTTGCTGCCTGGGCTCTACGCACAGTGTGGCACAGCAGCAAGCTAGTGTGCCCCTCCCAAGGCACAGAAAAGTCCCGTGGGACCTGGGGCTACAGAAACAGGGAGGATGGCTAGTGCAAATGGGCTGCGTGTGTTTCAGTCAACTAATCTATTGCAATCACAGACCATTTCAAGTGTTTGAATATGCTTGGAACTGGCCTCAGATGTAGCTTTAATTTACCTTCAGAACCCCGGCCATAGTCCCTGTGCTTCCAAACAACAGGGCACTAGTTTCGCATAACTTTCCCTATCCCACTCTGTAAGCAAAGAGAATCATATTTCATAACAGTAATCAGCTAATCAGTGTTTGGGTTTCAGCTGGCTGCATGTGTGTACTGCTTGGTGCCCTGTGCGACATGGGGCAAGGTGTGCAAGACTCGTTTCTGTAAGATAAAATATGAAACGAATCTAAGCTTTTAGACTCATGGTTTTGGCATGAGTGTGTTGTTACCTACCTCCCTGCTGGAGTTTCTTGCACCTTCCTGAAGTGTGAAGAAGCCGATTTTGATGATGCCCTACTGTTATGTGCAGCATGACGTTTTCCTTTTGTCTGGTTTTTTTTTAAGGTGTTTGTTAGGTAAGGATGTCAGTTTCAAACATGGCTGAACTTCTGCAGAAACTCAGTGTGAATTTAGTCTCTTTTGAAAATATAGAGAGTAAGGTCAGTCTATTTCCATTTATCTCTGAGAAGAGCAATTCTGTTCTGACCAAGAGATGGAGTGGCTGATTGAATAGGACTTTCCTCTCCCCAGCTTCCATGATTGCCTTTGTCCAGATTTGCAGATGCAGAATTCTGTGCATAAATTGTGATAGTAGGCTAGTCATTTGCACTTCAAAAGCAGCGCACTTCAGTGAATAAGAAACTGCCGAGTGCTCAATTTTTATATATTCAGCAGCTTATATACAAAATGATTTCCTTGGGAGAGAAGAAAAGTACTACTGAATGGGGCAGTTCACTGCTCTCTCTAGAGCAAGCATGGAATTTAGGGTGATAATATGTGTGTGTGTGTAAACAATTACAAAAAATTGCCTTCAGTTTCATAAATTTCCATTTCTAATCTTTCAGCTGGGAGACTAGAACACTGAAAAGTTGATTTTTCACTTTCAGCAGGAATAAACACCATTTACTGAACCAAAACAAGTTCTGCTTTTTTCTCTTTCTCTGTGTGTCTAAAACAGTGGACATTTTCTTGCTACTGAGACCTTTCTTCTTCCTTAATGGATGACTTGGAGTCCTTAACATGAGGCTTTTACTGTGCCATTACCATGTGTCATTGGCAGAATGTGATAGGGAATTCAGATGACGTGATCTTTCTATTGTAATCCTCCCGTGTTTTCCCAAATACTTTCATGTTTTTATTGCAGAAAGTGCATTGAATAAAAAAGCCAAAATAGCTGCACAATGCTTTTTGGCAGTTAGTGTTAGGAACTAGAAGTGACCCTCACAAAGAAGCCAGCTGTAGAAAAAGTAATCTCTGGCAAGATAGTAATTTGTCTATCCTTACTTCTGAATCATCTGTAGCTTAGATTTCTAGCAGAAGAATTGAGATGAAACTTGTTTTGAAGGAGGTACAGTTATTTTTATAATAACAGTCCATTTATATACGACCGATGGCATGGGCACAACAGGGAAGAAAGTGCCTGTTTCCTGTTGCCCATCTTTATATCTCACTTTATATAAGCATGAAAACAGGCATAGCTAAATTCTTGTGGTCATTCACTCTTGAACACCCGACTGTTTGAAAGATGTGGATTCCTGATCATGTGAAAAATAAAAATAAGCCATTTGTGTATGAGCACTGCAATTTCAGGACAATGAATTTTGAACACCTGAAACTTGGCATGATTATTAAAGAAGCCCTTGGACTGATTTGCTTTTCTAAAGGCATCAGTTAATTTTAATTGCATTTAATGGCTCTGTGCTTGAAGGCTGCTGTGCTGTCTTCAGTCACCAGGTGGCAGATTTGCTTCATCCCCAGATGTGCAGCTGATACACTGCAAAGCTGGGAGGGAGAGAATTGAAGAGTTGTCTCCTCCTCCCTGCGGTGGGACAGTCCTCCTCAGAAACTCATAAAGGACAGAACCCTCCTCTATTATTCCAGGGGCTTAGTTCATCCAAGATCACTCACTTTAGTTTTGATGTTAATTAGGAAGAGACACTTCCTGGCAAATAGATGGGAAAGAAATGGAGGTAGTGACAGATTTTATTTTCCTGGGTTCCAAGAGCACCGCAAACGGGAACTGCAGCCAAGAAATTAAAAGACGCTTGCTCCTGGGGAGGAAAGCTATGGCAAATCTAGACATAGATTTGCCATAGCTTACTAAAAAGCAGAGACATCACCCTGCCGACAAAAGCGCATACAGTCAAGGCTATGGTTTTCCCAATTGCAATGTATGGCTGTGAAAGCTGGACCATAAGGAAGGCTGAGCGCCGAAGAATTGATGCCTTTGAATTGTGATGCTGGAGGAGACTCCTGTGAGTCCCTTGGATCAAACCGGTCAGTCCTAGAGGAGATCAACCCTGACTGCTCTTTAAAAGGCCAGGTACTGAAGATGACACTCAAATACTTCGGCCACCTAATGAGAAGGAAGGACTCCCTGGAGAAGAGCCTAATGCTGGGAACAATTGATGGCAAAAGAAGAAGGGGACAACAGAGGATGAGGTGGCTAGATGGAGTCACTGAAGCAGTCGGTGTGAGCTTAGATGGACTCCGGGTGATGGTGGAGGACAGGAAGGCCTGGAGGAATGTTGTCCATTGGGTCACGATGGGTTGGACATGACTTCGCGACAACAACAACAACAGGAAGAGACAAAAACATTGTGTTTATTGAGTACAATATGGAAAGTGGATGCAGATGATAAATGATCAGGCAAAGATAAATTTGCACACACCCTTTGGTCACACAGCTTCTCTTAATATGATGGATGTTACTCCAGGGCAGTGGTTGCTTGGGCACTAGTGTGCTCCTTGCCCCAAGCTGAGTGGCAAACCCCAAGCTAGCAAGCTATTCTGATTTTATAAGGTCTCTTTTCCTCTGTTTCAGAAATTGTCACTAAACCCCACTTCTCAGAGACAAAGGGGTGGGGTGAAGCTGCTTCAGTAAAGCAAATGATTTCATTGCTCATAGCAAAAGCAGCCCTTATCTAAATAATAATATTGGGTAAGGCAACTTCAAGAGAATGATCTCAGGTGCTGTTTCTAGCTAGTAGAAGCTGAAGCTATACGTAAGATCCTGGCCTGGTTCCAAGAAAATATCCTCTCTTCTAGATGCTAAGAAAGTTCACTGTACTTACCTGTTGAACTTTAATAACCTCCTGATCATCCTTCTGCTAGAGCCCATCCAGGACACCTCCCTTAAGGGGCAACCGGAGTGCACGTGGCAAGGTCTGTGCCTGCGGGTGCCTCAGGCTGTGCTTCACTAAGCTGGGGTGAAGATAATGGACGAGTTTGCCTGTCATGATAAATCATGCTGAAAACAAACCCTGATAGACTGGGAAATTGCTCACTTTGCCATGCTGCTGCCGACAGATGATCTCTCTGGCTTGCCATGATTGGTTTCCCCCTTCATCCTCACAGTTGCTCCCAGAATGCATCCCAAAGGCCTTTGCAGCACAATCCATCTATACTCGTGCTGTCATGAGATTCTCCCATCTTCTTTATGGCCTTGCAGAGAACCTGCTCTGACATATTCATGTCATCTATATCTCCAGTGCAGCACAAAAAAGTTGATGGTATTAATTTTTGGACCAGAGAGGAGGTACTTACCTCACTTTTTTAAGCTGAGTTGACTGTTGGTTTTACGGATTCTGTTTGTTTACTACTTAAAAACGCCACTGGTTGCTCCTTACAGCTGCTTGCTCTTCCTAGTACAGCTACGAATGTATGTCGAGTGGCTCAATCCTGATAAGCACGCATGGCCCCAATTCAAGATTCTGGCAGCTTTGGAGGGGAGGATTTAAGCTTTCCCCCATTCCTATTCTCAGGTTGAAATCTCATCCTTAGGTGGGGATTTTTTTTAAAAGAAAGATGTTGAGACTCCCCCCTCCCCCCCGGCCACCTTTTAACCTTCCTATGGGGTTAAAATGAATTGATATACCTCCTGATGAAAGTGAAAGAAGAAAGTGGAAAAGCAGGAATGTAACTGAATATTAAGAAAACAAGAACCACAACAGCAGAAGAATTGCAGAACTTTACAATTAACAGTGAAGGAATTGAAATTGTGCAAGACTTTATGCATCAGTCATCAATTAAAATGAAGGTGTAGTGAAGAAATTAGAGGAAGACTGAGACCTGGAAGAGCAGCAGTGAAGGAACTAGAAAAGATAATCAAATGCAAGGATGTTTCACTGGACACCAAGGGCAAGATCATCCACACTATTTTATTCCTGACCATTGTGTATGGGTATGAAAATAGGATAGTGAAGAAAACTGACAGGAAGAAAATTGATGAGCTTGAAACATATTTATTTATCCATTCATTCATTCATTCATACATACATACATGTATTTATAGGCCACCTATAACTGCCTATAAACATGGTTCCAGAGGAGAACATTATGAATACCCTTTTCGAACAGAAAGACGAAGTGGGTCCTGGATCAAATCAAGCCGAAGCTTTCCCTAGAAGCACAAATAACAGCACTGAGGCGGCCGTACTTTGGGCACATCATGAGAAGGCAGGCCTCACTAGAGAAGGCACTCATGCTAGGGAAAGCTGAAGGCAGAAAAAGGAAAGGAAGACCAGATAAGAGATGGCTTGGCTCCAGAAAGAGAGCCACAACATCGTGGTTACAGGCGCTGAGCAAGGTTGTCATGAAGAGGACATGTTGGAGGGCAGTCCTGGGGTTGCCATAAGTCAGGGATGACTTGACAGCACATGACAACAAATAGGGTTAAAAACCCCTCTCCCGAATTACCATAGACCCAAATTGGAACCCTGGCGTGCTTATCCAGAGCGAAGTCAATCACAAAGTCACTCATGACCATAGTGCCTTGGCTTACAAGGGGATAGATGTGGTCACGTCAGATGAAGCAGAGGCACTGTTAGGAGAGGCTGCGTGTTTCATCACCTTTGCATTCCATCACCTGCAAAGGGCATCTTTGTAGCCCTTGAAAACAAGGCACGCATAACCCACGCTGCCAGGTTTACACATCAATTTACCTTGAACAGCCAGCAAACCGTGGGTCTTCTGCGCGATAAACAACCCTACTTCAACCATTGTGCTCGGTTCAGAGAACATGACAAGCCATTCTGAAATGAACGAGGGTGATGGCTCTCACCACGGTTGTCATGTTATGTCATGTCGTGTCACGTGAATCAGGTTAATGTGTCCAGCTCTAACCACTGTGTAACTTTGCTTGAGGACTTCACGGTATCCAACTTAGGGCTATTACAGCCCATGCAAAACCAGATCTCTTCATATTAATAATGATCTAAGATGGTAGTGCTGGGGTTGGCAGCAGTCATATATATCTCGTCAGTAATATGTGAACAAGACTTACTGCAGGTTTTGCTCTCTGACTTTGCCAGTGGACCATGAACTGAGGGTACAATAGTGTCACTAATGTGGCTGGCTGACTGTTCTCCTGGTTTATTATTAGTTGCCTATTCAGTTGGCTGCTTCCCTTTGCTATCCCTTGTACCATTAATGATCTGTGCAAAGTCATGGATCATTTTCCCTGCTTCTCTCTGCACCACTTGAGGTGAATTTCCTTGCATTCACCTGTGCAAGTGTATGTTGAGCATAAGAAAACTCATAATGAGGATTTCTTATGGGTTCCCTTACTCCCCACTCTTCTTTTGTAAATGTAGAATAACTTCTGTCTGATCAGCACCTGGAAAGATCTGTATCCTGTGCCTACAAAGAGGCCTGCAGAGTAGTGGGAAACAACACAAAAGAGGATGCTATGTTCTGTCTTGAAGGAGCAGTCCAAAGGAAATGAAGTCGGGCTCTTTGTGTGTTGAACGGGGTGTTTGAAGTCCATTTTGCAAGAGCACAGCTTTTTAAACAAGCGCTTCCCAATCCTTCCACAAGCATTTGCTGCTTTTATCATTAAAAAGGAATAGCTGGCAACACATGGGACTCCATCCCCCCGAAGCAACATGAGCATCAGTGAGCATCAAATGCATTCCAGTGTAATTGTGCAGCAAAGCAGGAGGAGAGAGTCGCACAGTTTTGTTGCTGTTAAAGCATGCTATAGAAATTATTTTAATTGTTCTGACAGATGTGGGACTGCTGTATGCTTTTTTGTAGCAACTCCTAAATTAATGTATTGCAGATATATCTATATATAGATATATTTAAAACTATTATCATGATTTTTGTTTTGTTTGTTTACTTTTATGGCTGAGTAAATATGTCAGGGCCTTCTGAAATTATCTACCCTTTTCATGGCTAGAAAATGGGAATCATGAAATATTTCTGTATTTGTGTGTGTGCTGCTTGGAGCAGGTCTGGAAAAGAAATATTTCTGTTCTGCGAAATTCACCCTCATTATCCATGGATGGAACTGTGCCGTTTGTGCTTACTGGTGATCTCACCAAATATTTTCCAGAAAGGAGCAGGTGGGGGGGGGGGGATTTGGCCACAGTTCAAATGGGAGCAGGAATCAGTTTCTAAGAATGTTGCCTGGGAGTGTACTTTGGATAAATTTCAGGTTAGTTCTATTTTCTGTGATGTCATCAATGCACATGCCATTTTACAGTGTGCAAAAGAAAAAGTCCCCAGCCTGCCAAGGTTGAACATAGGATTGGAGAAGAGGCACTGAGAAGGTGGGGAAAACAGAGGGGTGGTTTTGTTACAGCTACACCATGCTTAGGCTTGGGCTTGGCCATGCTGCCTTGGGATGGTAGGCGTTGTTCAGCACTTCTGGACAGAGTTAGACAACTCTTACCTACAGTGCTGCTTTCTAGTATTCACTTAGGAAAGTTGCAGAAAAGCATGGGAAGCCTTTCTCTGTGTTTGATTCTTCCTAAAATCTCTCTGCAGGAGCGTTATACGTGTCCCATTCTTGCACCTCATCCTAAGGAGTCTGTCTTCGTCGCCCAGACCAATGGCAACTACATGGCCTTGTTCTCTAGCCTGAGACCGTACAGAATCAACAAAAGGAAGAGATACGAAGGGCACAAGGTAGTCTCATCCGGGCCCCTGACGAATCCTGCCCCTTTTAAGCGTGTCTGCTTGTGCTGTGGATTTATTGCACAAATAAAAATTAATAGACTTCAACCCTGTTCTCTGTATTTTAGTTAATTCAAAATTAAACTGAATTGTGGGTAGAGCTGAAAATAACTGAAAGTGTTATTAGTTCCTAATAGCCTTGTCACGTATGCACTGAGTGCTGCTAACAATGTAAAGTCCTTAATGGGGCTGTTATAATAAACACCTGGGGAAGCAATTAGGCCATTATGGTAAAAATTGACATGTTTATTGCACTATGAAATTTCAGGAGGTTATAGATCATATTGCATTTCCTTAATTAGCATCTTGATTTATTGAAACACTCTTAATTTTTTTACTCTTGCAGGTTGAAGGATTTGCAGTTGGCTGTGAATTTTCCCCTGATGGAATGCTTCTTGTTACCGGGAGTTCGGATGGAAAAGTCTTTTTCTATAACTATCGTACCGCTCGCATCATTCACACCTTGTCTGCGCATAGTCAGGCCTGTGTGAGCGCAACATTTCATCCAGTCCTTCCATCAGTCCTTGCTACCTGTGACTGGGATGGAGTAATCAAGATCTGGCAGTAACAACATTTTTGAAGAACGTTATTCCTACATAGGGTGTGGTCAGCCCACTCTCTTTCTAACTTCGTGTCTGTATTTTTTTCCTTTTGTGTTTGACGTTTTAACGTCCTGTGCTCTGAGGTTCAGTTTCAAGCAAACTCTGAGAGTATATATGTGTAAGGAGAGAGAGCATGACTTCCTGGTCTCAGCAAACAGGTGCCTAACTCACCTGGATTCCCCCCCCCCCCCACATTGTTCTCTACTGGATTCGTGACTGTTCTCCACTGGGGCTTGCTGATGCTCAAAGATCTGTGTCTTCCTTATACACGTCCCCAAAATATGTATCTTACTCCATTTCTCTCATAGGAAATTAGGGAAAGATGGCCTAGGTTCTCACACTGTCAGTGAATTAGCTTGCAAACCCAAGTCTGTACAGTCAAGTTGCTCTGATTAATTCTCAGATCATCCAACTAGACAAAATCAAATGACTAGGACAGTTTACTAATCAGCAGAACTTGCCTCATTCACAAATGTGAACGTGTTTTCCCAGAAAAACTCACACTTTTCTTCATTGGCATTCTCATAAGAAACATGCATATTTTTTCCAACAAAATGAACATCAGAACATGGACATTTTAAACAAATGTATGCATTTCTGTGCTTTAGTCAATTGGGGGAAAGCACTTTGAGAAATGTACCGGGTAGTGCATCCTTTCCCTTTAGAAATGTGTACTTTTCTATGCAGATGAAGAGAACAGGCCACAAACAAGATGGAAGTGAGACAAACTGAGTTTTGAAGTGGAGTTCAGAGAATCCAGGCAAGTCCAAGCATCCCTGATTTCCTATCCCTTGATATGGCTTTGGTGCCAAGGAATGTGGAAGACCTACTTCTAGAAGTAATTACTGAGACTCAGATTAATTGATAAGGGACTTCTGCCACTGCAAGAGGACATCCTCATCTTGTCTTCTCCCCTGTGTCTCCTTCCCTTCCGTATCCCTGAGATCTGTTGCAGAGTCTCACCCAGCACCCTGGAGCAGTTTTGGAGGTGTAGAGGGCTCTGCAGGGGCAGGTGGAGACAAGCTGTTCCACTAGCACAGGGGTGTAAAGAGCTTAGATCTGTGTAAGAATTTATTTTTGTTTGACTTTGTACATTTGCAACATTATAATAATTTTTTGTTTAGCACAACAATCAGCCAAAGGGTTTATATGAAAGCTGCAATGCAAGTTGCTGAGATGATTGGACAGCAAAACTCTTGTACCATCCTGTGGGCAGCTGCCTTGCTACCACATGAACAGACTGCTGGACCAGAAAGACCATTGGTCGTTTTTACGCTCCTGAGGTTCAGGTTGTGATTCTGCTGCATTTCAGATAGTTTACCAGTTTCCAAAATCTCAGAGCAGGTTTGTACATGCAGAGTCTTCCTGCCGTGAATACAGCATCAACTGTGCCCAGGTAAATCAACCATCATTACAGGTTCTGGGTTCTTGGCCAGATGCAGCTCAGTGCTTCTAACTTTAGATGTATACTGGAGATGCAGGCCCTGCATCTCCCTCCTTGTTCCTTCTCCATTCCTGTTGTGGCTAACAATACTATAGCTTTGCTTCCTTCATCCCCAGGAAAAGGGGCACTGAGTAGATGAGGAGCTTAGTAGCAGTACAGGGGAGGATATCATCATCATCATCATCATCATCATCATCATCATCATCCCACCTTTTTCCTTACAAAGAAACTCAGAGCAGCTCACATCATTCTCCTTCTCCTGTGTTCTTCTCCATTCTCATTCTCATTCTCCCTGCAACAACAACCCTGCAAGAGAGGTTGGGCTGAGAGTCTGACTGGCCTGAAGTCACCCAGCTGGCTCCCTGGCTGAGCGGGATCTAGAACCCAGGTTGCCTGAGTCCCAGTCCCATGCACTTAACCACAGCACCACACTGGCTCTCAGGGTATAGGGGATGGAATACCACATGGAACTACAGGAGGAAACAGTCATGCATACACACCTCCCAGTTGTAATGAGAATACTCATTCTATGTGATTTATATGTTGCATAATGTTATATATTACACCATTCAGGCTTATAAATAAAATGGATTTCTCTCTCAACTTACACTTAATTTAAAGGTACACAAATTTCCTTGCAAGATTTCCCCACCTGATTTTGAGCGATTCTCCTCTCTGATTGCTGCCCCATACAATGCAGCCCCTACTGCTAAGGAGGGCCTTCAACTGTCTTGAGTAGGTTTTCAGGAAGTAGAGGGGGCTGCAGAGGAAGAGAAAAATCAGCTGTGCAAGCATTGGACACAACACTTAAAAATAAATTATCTGACCTTGTAAAGATGGTCTGATTTATGTAACAGATTATATCCAGGAAGGTACCGAACGGTAAATCATGCTTCATATGTAATGATGGCTGATCTTTGAGACGTTTCCTTTCCTGCACCAGCTCAGCTGATTTACTTGCCCTTGACCAAGCAGCAGCACTTCATTCCTGTTGGTAATGGTACTCCGCTTATAACATCTCAAGCAATTTTGAAACAATGGAATGTTGCTGTCTTTGTGGATCTATCCGATAATCACAACATCTTGAAACCAGAGTTCTGGCACACTAAATGTGTTTGACTTATTTGCATGTCATGGATACATGAAAGTTTTGTAAATTGGGATCCCAGATGTGTTCATTACACCATTACCTGATCATTTATATTTGTACCAAACAGCTCCAAGGGTTGGTTTCCATCACACCAAAGAATGCTTGACTTTGCAAAGAGCAGCTGCTAAGATGCTGAGTTCTGACGTTTAGTTCAAACACTCCCATGACTATGTGAGTGAGTGTCCTTAGAAGTGAGTGGATCGGCTTGTTTGTTACGCTGAGGAAAGGAGAGTGGCCACAGGATGCCATGGGCCTTGAATCAGAGATTTGCAACCAGCTACTTTAATCTACTTTAAGCTGACGGAGACTCCTGCAAGTCCCTTGGACAGCAAGGCGATCAAACTGGTCAGTCCTAGAGGAGTTCAACCCTGACTGCTCTTTAGAAGGCCAGATGCTGAAGATGAAACTCAAATACTTTGGCCACCTAATGAGAAGGAAGGAGTCCCTGGAGAAGAGTCTAATGCTGGGAACAATAGATGGCAAAAGAAGAAGGGGGCGGCAGAGAATGAGGTGGCTGGATGGAGTCATTGAAACAGTTGGTGTGAGCTTGAGTGGACTTCGGGGGATGGTGGAGGACAGGAAGGCCTGGAGGAGTGTTGTCCATGGGGTCGTGATGGGTCGGACACAACTTTGCAACTAACAACAACAACAACAACAACTTTAATCTCTCTGCCACTCTGGTGACTTTTCTTTGTTGTGCAGTATTGCCACTGCTGCAGAAGTTCAGAGGTTGGGTATTGCAGCAACCAGCTCAACAAAGCATAGGTGATGCAATGGTCCATCATTACCACCATCAGAATCATCATTACCACATTAAATTTATACCCACCTTTCTTCCTTTTGCAAGGAACGCAAAGCAGTTACGAGGTTCGGTGACTGGCCCAAAGTCACCCAGTGAGCCCCATGGCTGAGCAAGGAATAGAACCTGGACCTCCTGGGTCTCCAGTCCAACCATGTCCCACTGGCTCCCATAGGATTCCATCTGTTCCCACAGAGTGCCAACTCTATCCTGGCTGTTCCATCCGTGCCTAGGCCCAGAATGAGTTGCCCTTGAAGATGCCTGTCCAACATGGCCTCCCAATTTGAGTGGTTGTTCCTTCTATCAACTTTTGGTTCAGTTGGCTGAAGCAGGAGAGACCATTTTAGATAGAAAGGAATCTGTTGCTCTGAACATTTTATTGCACAGAAGTCATGTTTGATCATCTCTTCCAGTTTTTCTTCCTTTCAGATTTGTCTCATGGACTCTGCTGTGGCAAATATCTGCTGGCAGGCTTCAGATTAATTTGGCTCTTCTTGTATTTTAGGGTTTTGGAGGTTGAAAATGTGCTTGAAGTTCCCAAGTAGTCATTTCAGCCCACCTGCAGGTTAACAGAGTGATGATGTTGATACAGTCTTCATTTGAAAGGCTCATGTTAGAGATTGCCTGCCGCTGAGCATTTTGTGTAGGCCTGGAGACCGAGACAGAACCTGCTGCTTACCTCTCCCAGCGGAACGTAGGGGAACTAGAAGGCAGGAAGAAGGAGCTACTGAGGATTTTTCATCTCAGTCGTTGGTCTTCGCTTGCCTCTGGATAGCATCCAGTGGTGTCTCAGCACTGACACTCATGATGCGGCACTAGCATAAACCAACACTTGTGCAACTGTGCTAAAAAGTGGTGACTGACCACTGAATTTCTGTAGTGCCTGCCATGGCCTGGGTAAGAAGCTTTTAGCCTGGATGAAGAGAACACTGGTCATATAGTCCCCTATACTCAGCACTAGTCAGACCTCACCTGGAGTGCTGTGTCCAGTTCTGGGCACCTGAGTTTTAAAAAGATGCAGAAAAGCTAGAAGGGTTGCAGAGGAGGGCAGTAAGGATAATTCAGGGACTGCAGGCAAAACCCTATGAGGGAAGATTGAGAGAACTGGTCGTGTTCAGCCTCAAGAAGACTGAGGGGTCATATCTTAGCCCTCTACAGGTACCTGAAAGGCTGTCACAAAGAGGAAGGACAGGATCTCTTCTCTTTCCTTCCAGACCTAAGTTAAAAGAAACCAGATTTAGACCAGAGACCAGGAAGAATTTCCTCACTGTCGGAGCAGTCCTGCAATGGGACCTGTTACCTGGGGAAGCTGTGGGCTCTCCCTCATGGGAGGCGTTCAGAAAGCAGTCCTCTGAATGAGATGGGCAGCCCGGTCCTTCCATTGCAGGGGACTGGACCCAATGGCCTTCTGGCCCTTTCCAGCCCTACTGTTCTACGTAGGATCCTATGATATATGGCCGGCCAATAGACTGGAGGTAGCTCATGCCCAGTTTGGATTAATCAGCTAAGGCTGCAATCTGGTGGGGAGGTCAGTGAGGCCCTGTATTTGGAAGATCGTGGGCATCCTATGCTGAGGCAGAGGAATATGGAGGCAAATATCTAAAAGGCTGAAATATTAAACCAATTCTTACAGTACTAAAATGGCTGTAATTTATGAAAGGAAATAACTGAGCAATTATGTTGCTCAGTGTTCCCCAGGGCCAGGTTTGTTCGTTCATTCGTTAATTTATATACCAATCTTGTCAAAGCTCTCTGGGCAGTATACACAGTCCTTAAAAACAGAAGATAAAAGTACAACGAAAATGTCATAAAATAAGAAAAAAAGTTTTAAACAGCTAAAAACAGATAATAAACACAGACAATAACAAGGGATAACAAATCAAGAAAAAAGAGAGTGACTCTGCAAAACATCTGGTGAATTATTTAAATGTTATTTAAATTCGTTGCGGTTTAAATAATGCTGGGCAAAGTTGGCAAAAGTTTATAAGAAGTGAAGGCACCAATGCAGCGCCCTGAACAAATGTCAATGTGTCTTGCTCTCTGTTTCAAACAAATAAATAGGTTGATCAGTGGGCATCTGGGATTGCTTCAAGGCAGAATTCGGATCTCCAGCTCCTGCCATCCTTATCTTCCACAAACGCCTGTGAGAAATACACATGGAGCTCATGGACATTCTTGAAACATGAAGAATGACACATCCGGCCACCCAGAAGAGGCAATGAAAATAGAGGGACTCCTGTCTCTCTGGGAAGCTGTGCGGTAACTTTGGGTGGTGTGGGTGGGGGGAGAGTTCTGGCAAGGCAGGCTGAGGAGGGTGGGGGTAACCCAGCTGGTGCAGGGTTTGGGATGGCCACAAGTTAACTCCCATGGACAGGGTAAGGAGAGCCTTGGAACTCGGCTGGAAGCAGTGGGGGGGGGGGTTGGTGTGGGTTGTGTCTTTGTATGCCTGAAAGGATGGGGTTGTGTGTGTCTGAGAAAGAGCAGGTTCTGGAGGAATTTGCAGGGATCCTGGAGGGTTCCTGAAAAGAGTGAGTTTGGTCTTCTGTATGATTGCAGGGCAGAAAAGGGAGGGACATCCATGCACAACGGCATGTATCCATCATACAGTGTGTGTGTGTGTGGCAGGGAAATGGAGGCTGGAGTTTGGCTTCTGTGAAACAGGTTTATGTTGTAATTGAAGAATGTGGGGTCAAGAGAGAATTCTCAATTACAGTGGTACCTTGGCTCATGAACTTAATC